AACTGCAACACATAATTATCACCAAAGTGTGTTATAGCGTGATCATAAAGACTTATTGAGCCTAACAAGGTTAGAATAAATGTAATCTACTAGAACGTGTTTCGAATGATGTTGCTTCCATTAGTTTTGCTTACAGTCCTTTAAGGGGGTGTATATTCGGGGAAAAATCTATATACTTCCCGGGGCGTTTAATCGAGTGGGCGTTTATTCCAAATGAGGCTCTGAATGGGGCATTTATTTATTCTTAGAATAACAACTGTGATAAAACTAATCGAATATCTATTCACTGTTATTTTCGCCATGCTTTTGTTAATAGTGAATTAGTGTCTTTCTTTTTTTTCTTTCTCAAAATGTTTTATTTTCTTTTGCCAAAACACACTACAGAAATAACAAAAGAGAATGTAACAACAATATTAAAAAGCACTTAGTCAATTATGCTTCTAATCTTAGTAAAGTTCCCACTGTTTGTTATAGCTTAAATATAGTACTTATTGTTATTCTTAACATTATTTTTGTTCAATTGTTCCTCTAAATTAAAATACCCATTTTTTAAAAACCCCTTAATTTTGCAAATTTGTAAATGTACCTCTTTTTTTTTTATTATCCATGGATGTGTTTTGTTTATCCATATTTTGACCAATTATTGTATCATATTAGTATTGCTTCTGGATTAAAAGACAATTTAATAAAGAAAAAAATGCTGAGGCCCTGCAGGTCTCCACAGGTTGCTAATAGTACAATATGTCTGCCTGAGGTTCTGACATTCTTTAGGTATTTGAACTACTGTACTAACATTTCCAAGAGACAAGCTAAGACCAAACAGAATAACAGTAATAAAGTTTTATGCAAGTAAACATAGTTTATATCATTGATTGAAAACGAATTCCACATTCCATGTGAACTGGCCAAATACTGATTATTTGTTTTAGTTTGTTTAAGTTTGGTGACGGTATGTGCAAAAAGAAAAAAACCATCAAAGAAACTTATAGCCATGGTGTAATAACAAACTAATTAAAGTTATATTGACTGTGGTTAAAATCTAACTGTAACCTTTCAAAAACAAAACAATAAATTGCTCATGTAATACAAGATTCAAAGAAGTTATCATCTTGGAATAAAATTCAATACAAAGATTATAAGAATATAGTTACATGTATCTGTATTTAATTATTATATTATCATTTTTTAGTATTATGCCTTGTACCATACTGTTATTATGAGTATTACATATTTTTTATTATTATTGCTATTATTACTATAATTGTAATTTAGTAAAAAAAAATATATACTAAAGTAAATACAAAAAGTATAGTAATTGTTTATTCTGATGGCAGTTTTTTGGTGGTGTAGTGATTAAGGCACCAGGCTAGTTATCTGGAGGTCGTGGGCTCGATTTCCACCTGAATCACTTGCACGAATTTTTTTGCAAGTATTTGGGAATGTACTCTGCATTCAATACGATAACATGTTTGGTAGGGCAAAAACATCATTTGTATTTATTATGCATTCAGTTCAATAAACACATGGATATATTAAACGTGATGTAGTAACATATTAAAATCAATGCAAGCTTCTATCCTATAAGGATGACATGATATCAGTTTTTATCCTAATTTTGTTACCACAATCTCCCATTTGTCTCATATGGCCTAGTTCTTTATCCCCATCTTTCTATATCCAGTAGCCTAGTTTCATATCAATGTTCCGCTTTTCTCAACTTTTTGTTTTCGCATAAAATATTACATATTTTTTTCATTTGATTTTCATTTTCAGAACCCATCTGCTCATATGATAATTTTTGTGCCATTTTATAATTATCATTACATTTTTATAAGTATTTTTTTAATTATTACCATTTATTTCTATTAATGTTATGACATACCAATTATTCAGCTCTTCAATTTTAAATTTAAAAAAAATTGTTTTATAGATATATACATCTATAGGCCTGATCCTGAAATTTGGAAGCTGTGTAACTTTAAAAAAAGTCCAAAATCAATGTTAATAGTCTGGAATTTCAAATTTGTGATTATAAAGTTTAGAGTATACTGCACTCAATTTACAATAATGGTAAGTTATTCGCAAAATTTGGCCTATGGTTAACATGCTTACCTATACTCAATGTATTTTCAGAAAAGTGTTTCCAAAGTTGAAGATGAAGATTCATTCAACTGAAAACTCTCAAAAATGTTGAAAATACATTTTAAAAAATACAGTTTAACTTGCCTAAAGTCAACTGTGCCTAACTCGAATAATTTCTAAGTCGAACGAATAATTTCTAAGTCGAACGAATAATTTTTAAGTCGAACGAATAATTTCTAAGTCGAACTTATTTTACATGCGAAACTGTTGTATTTTTTTTTTATAAATTAACAATCTGTAAGTCAAATTTTATCTAAGTCGAACAATTTTTCAGTGGAATTTTGGATTCGACTTAGGCAAGTTCAACTGTATTTTATTTATAACTGCAGATATCTCAAAATTATATAACATCAAAAGGCTATATTGTTAGATTACAGTCATGAGGTTACTTTTGGGCAGGAGTGGGCATAAAAATCATGAGGTTACTTTTGGGCAGGGGTGGCATAAAAATCGGTTGGAGGGCCAAAGTAAATTTTGATTTAACACTGAGGGCTGCACCCAAACTTTGATGTTTCCATTGTGCTTCTAAAAACCTTCATGCACTGCCTTTATACCACTTTATTCTAGGTTTTAACATTAATTTTACAGATGATCGGTGGCGGACGGTAAAAAACTAGGTGTTTTCTAATCAAAACAGTTTGGCAGGCGCACAGGGTTTTTATTTCATTTTCTCAGGCGGCAAAAAAATCACTGTTGGGGCGCACTTTACCCACCTGTGCTTTGGGAATGCCTTCTGTTCTCTGTATATATATTTTTATTTTATTACTCTAGGCTCATGGCCAAGGATTTCCAATAGTGACTTAATCACTGTCCTATTGTATAGGTGACAGTCCCTTCACATGACAAACAAATAGACATGATTTTCTACATAAACTAAGTCTTGTAATAAGTATGGAGTGTGAAAAAATCCTGGAATCTGACAGGATTTGAACCCAGGACCCTTGGATTGGAAGGCGGGCAGCTTATAACCACCAAGCTATTCAAGACCGTCTCATTTTTGTGAGGCAGTAAGTAAGCCTGTATAATCCAACAGTATATATAATAGATAAATTTACCTAATAATACCAATCATTAATTATTATTATTATTGTTATTATTAATTTTGTCATTACGTTAAACCCTGTCCAGACTATCAAATTTTATATGGTAAAAACGTGTGACATGCCTAAAAAATGAACGATTTCTTCGGATGAAATTCTCAGCCATCGTTTACTGTCCAGTAGACTAGTACCTTTGATCGAACTGACGCGAACAGACATTTTGCTCATTTTAATGAGACACAAGGTAAAGGTGGGTTACACGCGAGCGCTGTCAATCTTCATTTCAGCCACACACAAGCTGGAAATGGGTACGTGCTACTGCTGTCAATTTGCATTGCCACCAGACACAAGGCATGGGTACGGCTTTGTGTCTGGTCAGAATACAAATTAGATCGGTAACGATGTTCACGTTGCAAAAGTTGAAATCTGAGTGTTTCTTTTTTAAGTAGGATGAAGGTGACATACAATTAAATCTAGGATTACATAAACAAATAGGCCTATATTTGAAAACAATCATGTCAAAATATTAGTACGGTGGCCACCGTGCCTGCCATACCCATTCCGCCACCCCTGATACATCAGTCGTGTAATTTCATGGCTGGCTTGGCTGCTGGAATCTCATTTTTCCAGATCTTTAAAGTCAAATTCCGGAGGAATCTCATTTTTGAAGTGCTGTACCTCATTTTTTCTAAGACACAAAAGCATATTTGACGAAAAACTTGGAAATGGTTTAATGAGATACAGATTTTTGAATATTGAAAATGGTGGGGGAAAACAGTGGTTACGCCCCTTTTTTCCCAACTTTTAAATATTCAAGAATCTGTATCTCATTAACCGTTACCAATTTTTTTTTCTTCAAATATCCTTTTTGTGTCTTAGAGAAATCAGTAGTACAACATATCAAAGAGCTGTTTTCTTCCAGAGCCTGAAAGTTACTGAATATAGTGGATAGGCTTATATTTTGTAGTTTTTTTAAATTATATTCTAAAATCGATTGAATGAGTCTCTGAAATATTATTTTTGCCTTCTTGAATTCCAATTACTGTATTGACTCGCTCCCCCTGCTCTAGAGGCTTACAAACACATGTGCTTGATGGATTGAGTCCCAACCTGAACATGACTGATACGGTATCCCATGTTTTATCGATTCCATGTCAGTTTCCGTGACAATGTGTTCCCAACTAAGGTTTTCCACACGGAATTGATGTATGGAATGAGTTATAATTCTTTGGTCATATTAATTGGGTCAATGGAGCAACGTTTGGATTTGGTTTATTAATTTATTGCATATTGTATTTCTGAGTAATACTTATTCGAAAAATTCAGTAGGGATGACAACAGAGTGAACTACTTCTACGTCACATCCCTAAATCGTACCGTGCTTGCTGTTTTCTATACAAATTTGAATTAATTTTGTTGTTTTCCACCGTTGAATGCATGCACAAACCTGAGTCATTCATTTTCCACTGATCCTGTGTGGCAAAGTAAATCCAATTCAGAACTTACTTTTTCTGCTATTCAGTCTGAAACTACTTTTCAAAAAAAATATTACGTTACTGATTACATTCGCTCTATGCTGAGTAGACGAATGTATCCTTGATTCCTTTGTTGCTCCTGGTTTCAGTACAACCCATAAAAAAGCTGGTAAGGTGCTTCCTTTTAGGCTGTTCCTCATATTTACACTCAACTTTCAAGTATTCTTTTGACAACAACTAACGTTAAAATTAACATTTTTTTCTTTTTTTTAAGTTTTTTTCCTTCTCAAAATGCACTTATCATTCATCTTCCAAGATCTACATTTTAATCTTTGTTTTCTAGTTCACATATTTCTATCAAAAGTTCCCGAATGTCTTCTAAGGCAGCCAATGGTCTCCAGAGTGGGCAAGACCCAAAGAAGAGTCTAGTGTTCATCAGTTACAAGGCTGCCATTGGTATCTGCATTGGATGTGGTTGTCTAATACTACTGGTGGGACTGCTCTGTGGATTACTACCAAGGGATTGTGATATCAGGTGAGTACAGCAAATATATTCAATGATCTCTTAAAATAAGTTTAGAAAAAATATATAAATTTAAAGCACTCTCGGAATTTGAACATTAGACCTAATGACAAACTATGCCATAACACTTCTGCCACAGTGGCAGCACTATTGAGGGGTATGTGGGAAGGGGGATAAGTGCTTTATTCCCATCAGAGAGGCCGAGATCCCTTAATGTTTTTTCTTGTCAAAACAAAAAAAAAGCAGCTTTTAAAAAATGGCTAAAAATTGCCCAAATATGGTGAATAGGTGAATTTTAACTACTTGACCGTGATTTTTGGGGTGGGGGGGGCGACTGGGAGAGGGCGAGTAATTTTTTTGGGGGGGCGTGCCCTCCCCTAGATACGCCACTGCTGCTGGTCTCCATTAGAAGTTGTCAGACACGCTTATGGGGTGTGCGACAGTGTCTTGCATTTTCCTTAGAATTTGAACGATTAGTCATATGCACTGTACAAATTTAATGTAGTGTGAATGAAAAAATATATACTATTATATTCCTATTATTTATTTATATTAATATTAATTTATTTAATTGTCTTGAAATGGTTGCAGTGATAAAGAACCGATAGATGGTACCATACCAGCAACCAAGCCCAGCATACGAACGACTTCACCACAACAGACAACAGTTGGTAACGGACAAGCAATCTGGGACTATTATCGTCTGCCGCGTGATTTGATCCCATCTCACTATGACCTCTTTGTAAGAACAGATTTGGAGCAGTTTGTCTTTAATGGATCTGTAACGATAAACTTCATGTGTGAAAAGAAAACAAATTATGTTCTACTACACAGTAAGAATTTACTGATTGATAGGAACTCGGCGATGGTTACTGACTCAAACGGTGGGATGCTTACAATCGTAGACATCCAAATGTACCCGATTAATGAGTATCTACTTGTAGAATTAGCTGAAGAAATGACGGCTGACATGCAATATAGCCTAAGTTTGCATTTTAGTGGCACTTTAACTGACACACTCAATGGGTACTATAGAAGCTCATACACAACTAGCCAACAAGAGAAAAAGTAAGGACCAGTTTTTTATGTTCCATATATGCACATTATTTGTTTTGATAAATTAATAAAGAGAATAAGAATATAAAGAGTGAAAGAATGGCAGAACAGGCAGATAAATAAAAACAGATTATTAAGGAATGTGTGTGATAGAATAGAAAAGAATTGTGAGTAATTTAGCAAAAGAGGGAAAATACTTATTTACATCCAATGTTTTTTGAAGTTTGGAAGTTTTAGAGTTTCTTATTTTATGAATCAGAAAATGATATTTAAAAGATGGGAAAAGTAGTGTATAGAGTAAAAAAAAATGAAAGGTGAGTCACACCTCCATATAATTTGGTTATAGTGATAATTTATTAAAGGCAGATCCAAGTTAACAATACAGTGAAACAAAAGTGTAATAGTAATATTTAAGATCTTTTGAAATAATTGTAATATTTGTTTTATTATTTTAAAATCACACTCAACAATGCAACAGCTTTACCCCACATACTTCAATTAATATATTAATGTATCATTTTCTCTCTAGGTAGGCCTACTTGTCAGTTGATAATAATAATAATAATAATAGTAATAATAATAATAATAGTAATAATAATAATATTAATAATAATAATAATATTATTATTAATAATGATAATAATAGTAATAATAATAGTAATAATATCAATAATAATAATAATATTAATAATATGATCTTTTGTGTTATTTTCCCCTAAAAACGTCATGTTATTTTCCCCTTAACGTCGTTTTTTTAATTGTTCCCTAATTTCTCTATTGTCTAAGTTTTCCTTAAGGTAGGTGTTAGTAACATAATAATAATAATAATAGTAATAATAATAGTAATAATAATAATAATGATGATGATGATAATAATATGTTAAACTTATATTTAGTGCTTTATGCCAACAAGGCCTCTAAATGCACTTCACATTATTACCCCTGTTCATATTTGTCCTTTTGTATGTTTTCACATGGACTCAAATCCAAAATAAAAGCTGATTGATTGATTGAATTAGAAACAGTCACATGCAGAATGTGCGGTAAAACTGAATAAGTTGATAAATTATCAACATAGAAATGCTTTCATTTTATTCACGGTAATGTCTTCAAAATTCTTCCTGCCTAGTTCATAAGCAGATTTTATGAGTATTTTTATTAAAGTTAAAAGCAGGTGAGAGTACTCAACTCATTCTATTTAGAGATGGACTCGGGTCATCCACTACATATCAGTTATCACATACAACAAATATTATAACTTCTCGCTGATAGGGATTTTTCTATCAGCCTGATGGCACTTCCATTATACAGATTCCGATCTGTTATTGGAGTGAGATTAGAATGATTAACATGAGAAGACTCAGACTTAAATCACCTGACATAAAAGTACACGAAATATAGGGCCTCTTATAATATCTAAATGTAGTACAAAAACAATTTCATTTCATTTATTTGACGTTAAAGTTTGCAAAAACAACAAGAAACAAGCATTATAGAACATGAGACAAGAACACTGCATATACATGAACTAAATTACTACTGGTGTAGGGGTGGGGGGTGGGGTGTGGGCTTTTTTTTATGTTAAACAAATTTTAGAGACCTACTTTTTTTTTATATTAAACACATTTTTGAGACCTGCTAATTAATAATTTCAAAGTTAAAATAAAAGATATTCTATTGAAACATGAGATTTTTTAAATTTCACATTTTAAATATTAAGAATTCTGGTGTAAGCAATTAACAATTATGGGTTAACAATTGTTTAAAAAAAAAAAAAAGTTATATTTTTATTAGAATATGTTAAATCAGTGCTCAAATATGAAAGTGTTGAAAATTCTGATATTTTACAGAAATTATCCTAATTATCAACTCTTTCATATTCGTACAGAGAGTTGATAATACAGGTCTCCCTCCAATTAAAGACCACTTTTGGGACTGGAGTTACCATGTTCTTTAGCAGCTGTGGTCTCAAGAATCATAAAGATAAAGACATTTGTTAATTTGGCGCCACAAAACAGTGGTTTTTAATTGGAGTAGTTTTTAATTTTAGGGAGACCTGTATTCTAATCACCAGAAAAAGCATTCAACCGTCATTCAAAATGTTGAAAATTCTGATATTTGATAGAAAGTATCTTAATTATCAAATCTTTCATATTTGTTAAAGAGTGGATAATATTTGAAAGAAAAATCATTTTTGAATTTTCAGTGGGAAATACATTTTCTATGAATATGATTTCAACTTTTACTTGTCTAGTCTTATTTGAACCGAGTAATTCCTTTTAAAAGTTGAAGTTCCATTATTGATGTGGGTCTGGTGTAAATTTGGTGTAGAGTATAATTGCCTGAAAGCTGCCTCTAGGTCAAACAGACCATACACTACATACTGTTTGCACTGTACCTCTTAACATAGATATTTTAGTCCTGCTGTAAAGAGTGAGTGTTTACTTTTAGGCCCAATAAAAAAATTGTTAGCTTATCACCCTATATAGGCTGGAAAAGTTATGAGGGAGGGAGGCTCTTTGTTGTTTATTTTACTAAAGCCAAATATCACCCTTGGGTTGTTTGCTGGTGCAATGATGTTCAAAGTAGTAATAGACATGATTGACTTAATACAAATAATATCAAGTAACTATCCTACTCGCGTGAATAAGCGCCCCGTTTGAGTAGCGTCTCTCCTAACGTGAAAATTGTGTTAAGCGCCCCCATCAATATCGAACTGCGGAGTGGATTCACATTTTCTTCTTATGTCAGTTTCAAAATTAGGATATTTCTCCTTGACGATGAGAGCTCCCTGTACAACGTTACTCTTTCATATTCGTACAGAGAGTTGATAATACAGGTCTCCCTCCAATTAAAGACCACTTTTGGGACTGGAGTTACCATGTTCTTTAGCAGCTGTGGTCTCAAGAATCATAAAGATAAAGACATTTGTTAATTTGGCGCCACAAAACAATGGTCTTTAATTGGAAGTGGGTTTTAATTGGAGTAGTTTTTAATTTTAGGGAGACCTGTATTCTAATCACCAGAAAAAGCATTCAACCGTCATTCAAATGTTGAAAATTCTGATATTTGATAGAAAGTATCTTAATTATCAAATCTTTCATATTTGTTAAAGAGTGGATAATATTTGAAAGAAAAATCATTTTTGAATTTTCAGTGGGAAATACATTTTCTATGAATATGATTTCAACTTTTACTTGTCTAGTCTTATTTGAACCGAGTAATTCCTTTTAAAAGTTGAAGTTCCATTATTGATATGGGTCTGGTGTAAATTTAGTGTAGAGTATAATTGCCTGAAAGCTGCCTCTAGGTCAAACAGACCATACACTACATACTGTTTGCACTGTACCTCTTAACATAGATATTTTAGGCCTGCTGTAAAGAGTGAGTGTTTACTTTTAGGCCCAATAAAAAAATTGTTAGCTTATCACCCTATATAGGCTGGAAAAGTTATGAGGGAGGGAGGCTCTTTGTTGTTTATTTTACTAAAGCCAAATATCACCCTTGGGTTGTTTGCTGGTGCAATGATGCCACCGACGAGGGGTCAGATTTCCCAGACGAGAGCAAAGTGGGTGTGGTTGAGTGCCGTTTCAAAGGCTTGAAAAGTGCTCAAGGGGGCTAAGCCCCCAAAAATTTTGAGAGTTCAGGGGCTTATTTAATCGATTTAATATTAGAAAATAAATATAATTATTTTTTCCTCCCAGACGAATCACGATTTTTCTCCCTGACCGGGGACCAGCTCTCCCAGACAGGAGGCCCTAGCCCCCCCCCCCCCATGCTTGCGCCACCCCTGATTTCAAAGTCTAAAAGATTTGATGTATAAATCAGTAAAAAACAGACAATTATCTCTGAAATTTTTAAAAGATTAATTGACTAATATTATAATTTAAGTTTAAAGAACTGTCATTTGGTATTGCAGTATTATGGTCTTTAGGTATCATTCACTTAGACAAAAATTTCATTTTCAGTTTAAAAATAGACCCTATCTTAATGCCGAGTAATATGAATTTAGAAAATCAAAAAGAATTTTCATCCAAATGCTGGACAAGAATTCAGCACAATTACTTCTAGAAATAAGAAATATGCAGTAAGAAAAATTGCAATAACATACTGTACTGTACTGTATTCATTCATTCTTTAATGTTGGTAGGTCCTATGTGTAAAAGCCCCATTTGAATGTTATTGAACTTTGAACTTTACCTTGAAAAAAGAGTAAAGAAACTGTCTCCTGATTCACACATCACTTGCTCCCAACCTAGCGTAGCAACATAAGATTCCTCTTCAAGAAATTGGTTAAAGATCATAAATTTTGATGTTTTTTTCTCGCTTTGCAGATGGCTCTCCTTAACTTTCTTCGCACCGACTTACGCACGTATGGCATTCCCATGCTTTGATGAGCCAGACATGAAAGCCAATTTCACGCTTACTATGGAGCACAGCAGCTCCCTCATTGCAATTTCTAATATGCCGATGTTGTCGGTTAAGGAGGCAGGAACGGGATGGTCTGTTACACACTTTCAAATGAGTGTGCCTATGTCTACATATCTCCTCTGTTATGTCGTTTGTGATTTTGCTAAAAAGGAAAAACTTACAAAAAATGATGTGTTGGTAAGTGCATTGAAGTGCATAGGATAGGAATCTTAATACTGTAGAATTGAATCTGTGTGACAGTAAATTTCTATGTAATGAAAATATTTTAAGGGTCTATTAAGTGAAATTGAATTAATATCATCATTAAACTGAAATCAGTGGCGAATCCAGGAATTCGAAATAGATGGGGGCCCAAGGGAGGATTTTTACTGATGGGGAGAAGGGTTTGTAGCACCGCAGCACCTGGTTGGGGCTGAGGTAAGAAAATTTATGATTATGGCACCTCTAGATGGCCGGAAATGGCACTCTCAAATTTGAATGTAATTTTTATAATTTTGAAAAATGTAGGGGGACCCAGGCCAGCTGGCCACTGCCTGCCCTTGAATCCACCACTGGAAATTGTTTACTATGAACTATTCTACTAAATTATCATGTCTGATGCCATATTTATGTGTTGAAGAAACTCCTCCTTCTCTTTAAGCTACGAGTATGGGCAAGACCAGATGCTATTGATTCGGTTGACTACGCTTTGGAAAAAGGAGCTGATATTTTGGATTTTTATGATGAATATTTTGGCACAAAATTCCCACTTCCTAAGATGGGTGAGTAAACACACAACTATATACAGTATATAACAACTTTTATTTAAAAAACTATAGTTCAACATATGTTGTTGTTGCCTGTGTTGTTATGTCATCTAAAGCTGGGCACTCACTGCATCCAACAATCGTCGGCCGACGTGATTTTACGGTGAACGCCACACTTCAACATGAGCGCAGCGAATCGTTTCTAATGACAATCCGTTCAGACTGCCACCAACAATCAGCAGACGGCGTTGCGTCGCCAAGCGCTCACAGGGAGCGGAGTTGGATTCATCAGCCAACGGTCGGACGACCGTCATACGCTGCAGTGAACTGGCCGACGGTCGTACGGCCGTCATGCAATGTAGTGATTGCCCAGCTTAAGGTACTGTACTGTAATATTATTCCAAAACACATTTTTATTGTAACTCTGGCTGTAAAGTGGATTTTCTTTTGGTAGTAGTTGTAAGTAGTAGGACTTCTTACCAGCATTCCCTGATAGCATATTTACTCAACAATTACAACAGTATGCTAAGATAGAGTAACAATGCCTATTGCTGATACCCTTTGGAAGGCTGTGATGTCGGTAAACATATAGTTCAAGCCTAAAATACATAGCCACTAGAACTTTTGGGACTTTACTATTCCAACTAATCTGCTAAACTCTAAATAATTATTTCTGCTCTGCATGAATTTGTCTCCATCAAAATGCTCTGATTTCCTATCATTTCATCTCTTTCAAACATGATCATCTTTCCTCTTTCCAAATACAACCCTTTTATCTTTTTTAAATTATAGTGATGAAGCCTATTAGGAAAATCGATCTGTATGAAAAGGATTTAAAGTAATGATTGGAATATATACAAAAAAGTATATTTTGAAATTTCATTTTGATGAAATACAAAAACTGTTCAAAGCATCAAATGGTCTGATTTTGGTGGAAAATAAATGTCAGTGAGAGGAGGGTATATTTTAAATGTTAATATTGAAACTTAAATTGATCAATTATATGAGGATGCGAACTGAATCCCAGTTCCGATGAAAACTTATTGGTTATTTTTATTACCTTAACCTAATTAATGTAACTAATTTGCTGCCATGGCCGGTGTGTCTCCCCGCCTCCTTCAGCCTACGCCCATGGAGAATGACGTGCAAAGAGTCACAACATCAAATTGGTCATCAATAATACATAGAAGATAAAACAAATAGACCTACAAAAAAAATGTCTGACTAAAATCATGTTACAAAATGAACTCCATGTCAAAGGTTGATTTTATTCTCTTTTATCTGTAAAAATATATAACTACTGAACAGTCATACCAAAGACAATTACTTTGGTAATCTTGATTTGGAGTAGGCTATACTCTCAACCACACCCATCAGTGGTTATATAATTTGGGTTTGGTTAATTTTTTTTTAAATCATTTTGTAAAAAGTAAATTGGAGTGTTGAATTGAAAATTATAAAATACTAAACAAAAATTTAAGTTATAAAAACTATCATGATAAAATATCAAAAGATTCAATTTTATTCACAAATATCACCCTCAAATATGGAAAAATATATCAATAATAATAATTATAATAATAATAATCATAAAATAATAATAATAATAATAGTATATTACAAATACAGCACTTAATGCCAACAAGGCCTCTAAGCTCTTCGCATTATTACCCCCGGTCTTTGAATATGGAACACATACTCAGCTTCCTGGGGAGAATCACATAATGTTGCAGCCCCAATTCAGCACATTTTGTGTTTGAGCCTACCAGGTACTCTCTTGTTCTCCTGGGTGGAGAGAGACAACCATAGGTAAAGCACTTTGCCTATGGACAAAAACAAAATCTCAGTGAAGGATCGAACCATTGATCTCAAGGTTGAGAAGCAGAAACGCAACAGCTGCGCCAAACCGCTCCTACAATGAATTCACAAAACCCTTTTCTAACAAATTAAGAGTTCAAAAGTGGAACCATTTTTATGCATTGTTTGCTTTCCCACGCAGTGTTGGATATGGTTGGGTCATAACACATGCTGCTACCACCCCCTCATTGCCTGTCACTGCCAATTTAGAATTCTTATTCTGATTACCAATTAGAAAACCACCAAAGAGAGGCGCTCCCAGATTTTATTTTGATTGACAATCTGATTCTCTCTTGGGAAAGATAAATCGGACACTTTAATAGCCTGCTCTGCTTCCCCAGCAGTAAATAATAAACAGCATTTGTAATGCTACTACGGTTAATATGTATTTCATGTTCAGTGGTGCAACAAAGACAAGTGAATTCCCTGACTAACACTTCTTCAGGCCCTAGTACTATGATAGTTGTGGACTGCATAGGGCCTTGTTGTGGAACTCCATCGTTTCTGACATTTTCAAGGGCATATTTTGGTATTTTTTGACATGTTTTGCTTATTTAATATTATGGAGACCCACTCTACAAATTAAGGACCTCATTCAGCCAATCTGAGACCCATGGTTCTGACAAAATATTATGCTGCTTAATATTTCAGGCCCAGTGGCGTATCTAGTCTTGAAATGGGGAGTGGGGGGGAGGGTAGTGTGGGGGGGGGGGGGGGGGCTGATGGGGCACAAAGGTGAACAAGGGGGAACCAATGATTAGGTGAGGGGCACTAGCTCGCAAAATAAGGTGATTTCAGTTCAGTATTCTTAACATACTTGAGCATGATTTGTGGGGTTGGGTGACTGGGAGAAGTGAATATTTTTGGGGGACGTGCACATCTCCTGGCTACGCAACTGCCGGGGCCTTTAAGGTTTAAGGCCCTATCAGGTTTATTAACTCAACATAGGCAGTATATCAAGACTGTTATCCTTATGAAGTGGATTAATTGAGAACTCCTTAGAATTCTCAATTCAAGTACTGGTTGTAACTGCTGCACTTCAGATGCATATGTCTGAGATTTAAAAATCTTGGCAAACATTCATTTATGTCACTCTAATTTGAAAATCTCATTCATTGAAGTCGTTCTTGATTGGGTAACCATTTGAAAGCCTGCCTAGACATCATTAACATCCATCTTTCTTGTAAGAAATCAGCTGGCTGATGAGAATTGGAAAATATAAATAGGAATTAATAACTACTGTACCACCATATTATAGGCCCAACCAGTGGCATGTGTAAGGAGAAGTGAGGGGTGAACACACAGAAAACATAATTGATCCCCAGGCTGAACAAGCTCAATAACAACATGCAAATAATGCTGAAAAGAATACTCTTATGTATTGTAGTTAAAAATCACCTTATTCTCCTAGCTAGGAGCTCTCCACTTGCTCATCCAGCAACCCCTCCACATTAGTCCCTTACTATATTGGTAGATACATGTGGACACAATAGATACGCTACCATTCTAGTCTTTAATGAAGATTAAGTAGACGCTATGAAACGTTCTTCTTATGGCCCAAAACTTCATGCATATACCATAATAGTATATCTAAAGTATTCTTGTAAGATACTGTGCTAGAGTATAGAGTAACAACCCTGGTCTTATCTTCACCCCTGCTTTCCTTTTTGGTCGCCCTTTTTATCTTGAAATTTTAATCAAAGTATGCTTAAAAAATAAATAAATAAATAAAAAAAATACAAGGTCAGGATGACTAAAACATGACATGATGAGTTACTATCTATAAGTTGACAATAAAGCAACTTCAGACACACATCATACAACAATGTCAAGGCCTCTGTTGTTTTATTATCTTTTTTTAAAATTAAAACTTTGGTTTTTAATATTAAACATCTGTGTAGTAAATGGACATTTTCCTATGAAAGAAAGTTGAATAAATAATAAACCTAATACCTCAATCTAAAAGATTAAAAGTCAACTAGTATTGTAAGTCCTCCCATCCCATAAATATGTGATTGATGATATAGGATAAACAAATTAAGTAATAAAACATACTATACATCATCTGGCATTAACAGATCACTACTTGATCCTTCTCAACCAGCTATAAAAAGTTAGAAAAAAATCGCTTTAACTTAATTTGAAGTGAATTATTAGACTGATAGAAGGTATTTCCCTAATATGGTACGTCCAGGCCATCATGATTTTATTTATAACAAAGTCTTCCAAAACAAAACTTGTAATACATCAAAATAACTACAGTGACTAAGTAAAATGTTGATCCCATAATACATTGCAAATATATCACAATGCTAAATTTTCTTGATATTGTCCTGTATGTTAGTTTAGTCCACACTGGATTTTTTAATGCCATATTGTGCTAGCAACATTTAATATGTAGAAGCCGTTGGCACAATGATTGTGGCTTGTTAATTCAAACTCGAGTTCGGGGTTGGAAAACCTTGCAGTGCAAGTCGCTTGTGTCCTTGTTTAGTTAGTTATTTGTATTTTCTCTCTTTACTGAAGAGTATAGCATATGCTGGGAAGGTAGACAAACTTGTTATATGGGAAGGAGTGGTGAACCGTCTCCTTCCCCTCCCCATAGCCTTGTATCTCTCCTAAATGCCCACGAGATAGACACTAACATGTAACCTTAGGCCAAATAAAAAAATTATTAGTTTCTTATCCCCTTGCCCATCCATTTTCTCAGCCATGACATCACATCATGACCATATATTGGCACATGATGACTATATATGGGCATACAACAGATTTTGTCAAAGAAAATTTGATATATAACATATTAAAACACCTGCAGTGATGGTGCTCATAATGCAGTACTGGTGCCCATTTAAATATAAATATATAAAATTTAATAACACCTGCAGTATCGGTGCCCACAATGCAATAGCAGTGCCCATTTAAGGATTAATATATAAAATATAACAACACCTGCAGTAATGGTGCTCATAATGCAGTACTGGTGCCCATTTAAATATAAATATATAAAATATAATAACACCTGCAGTAGCGGTGCCCACAATGCAATAGCAGTGCCCATTTAATGATTAATATATAAAATATAACGTCAACACCTGCAGAAATGGTGCCCATAATGCAGTAGTGGTGCCCATTTAAATATTAATATATAAAATATAATAACACCTGCAGTAGTGGTGCCCACAATGCAATAGCAGTGCCCATTTAAGAATTAATATATAAAATATAACAACACCTGCAGTAGTGGTGCCTACAATGCAATAGCGGTTGCCCATTTAAGAATTAATATATAAAATATAACAACACCTGCAGTAGTGGTGCCCACAATGCAATAGCAGTGCCCATTTAATAATTAATATATAAAATATAACAACACCTGCAGTAGCGGTGCCCTACAGGGCTTTAACTAGTTATTATTACTAGAATTTGTTTTTTTTTTAATCTATGGTATTGATTTGATGTATTTCAAGTAAACTACTGTTTTTTTCAAAGGTCAAGCTGTGTCATTGTTTTTTTTTTTTTTTTTTTCTTATGAAAATTAATTATGTTGTAATGAAGATTTGATAAGAGCTCTTTTTAATCATCAGTAATGCTGGCTTTGACAGGATTTCAGATTGGAATTGTCATTTAATAAGATGCACCTCGTACTCAGCTATGTATTGATTAATTGCTTAAGTTCAGCAACATCATGTAAACTTGCCTTTCACTTGATTTTATTTTTTTTAGACATGATTGCCATCCCAGATTTTGCGGCGGGGGCCATGGAGAACTGGGGCTTAATCACGTACAGAGAGACCGCCCTTCTGTATCTGCCTGGCGTATCATCTGCAAGCAGTCAGCAACGTGTCTGTGCTGTTGTTTCACATGAACTTGCCCATCAGGTAATTTTCTTAAAAAGAGTATTTTATGTCTCTTTCTGTTGGATAGGAAACTATTTTTCAATTTTCTATTGATATTTTTCAAACAAGGTCAAGGGGTCACTCAAGGTAAGGGGTTAAAATAGTTGAAAAAAACTGGTTGACAAAAAATTAAAAAATTTGTAAGATGAAGGGGAAATTTGAAAACAATATTAGCTGGCAAAACTATATTAAGCAATTTGAATAGTTGCGTATAATACACTAGTGGAAATTTATTATACAAAGTTTAGATTAATGCATGAAAAAAATCCTACAATGCAATTCAGATATTGAATTTAATATCTCAACACTTGAACTTTACTGCTTTCCATTGAAATATTAAATTAAATTTATTTATTCAGTTTATACTCATCTCATCTACATGTAAAGTGTAAATATATTTTAGTCAAAGATATCTAATCAGTTTGTGTATCTTCAGCTCTGTCTAGACTGTCAAATTTTATTTGACAAAACATGTGTTATGCCTAAATATGGTCATGATGATATCCCATCATGACCATATATAGGCACATCATGACTATAGGTGGGCATACAACATGTTTTGTCAGGTGGAAGCAGGACATTGTTTTACTTTATTGACAGATAAATAATCAAATAGAATGTACAGTAACTGGATTTAAATTACTCAAAAATGTTAAAAAAAGTAAGAAGAGCAATGGAATGAAAGTAATGAAATTCTAGATGTCAGTTGTGATTACTTGTTGATTACAAAGAGCCGATTGAAAGAGAGTTCATTAATAATTAAAGAAGAGTGATATGTTGCTGAGAGTTTCTTGAAAGCTAATTGGAAAGAATGGGCTGTGTGTCTCATGTTGGTGAACTCATCCTTACCGCAAAAAATAATATTATAGCTCCTCCGGTGTAAGCCCACTCACTATATTATGTTTGATTTCATGTACCAGCATTTTCCCAGGCAATAGCCCAGCATTAATGAAAAGTAGTAGCTCAGTATACTTTTACAAGTACTTTCAGAAAAAATTAAAAGGTAGGATTTGAATCTGCCATGCAATGTTGAACATCTGTTTGAAAAACAAATACCAAATTTTTTCTGTGGAATGTGATTCTTTGAATGTAAGCCATACATTTGTTCATAAAGCAAAGAAACTATTTCTTTGCACTATGATTTGTTCTACAGTACTCTTGTATATAATGTGTGTTAATAATTAAATGCATAGTGCATGCTAATTCGAAACTTTCTTTATACCTTTTTGCGAACTAATTTTTTTAAAGATTGTCAGAGGAGGCCGGGAAAACAATTTATTTTCTTATTTAGCAAGAACATCCAAATGAAGGAGAAACTAAAAATGAAATTTTATTCTTGAATGTAAACAGTGTAGTAATGTGATGGTTAAATTCTTTAAATTTTTATAATTAGAAAGAAATATAGATATCTTATTTTTGGAGATTTCAAGGCAGCGGTGGGTGTAATAAAAGTAAAGAAAAACTTTTATTTTTTTCTGAAATTTCCCCATGTTTTTTGTGGCGATGGGTGCACTAATTGACCAAAAATAAAATTTTATTTTAATTGAACTTGGCAGGCGGAGGGTTAACTAAACAAAGTATGAAAATTAGTCTTGAATAAATAAATTCATCTTTTGGTCAATTTGCTATATTTTCTTAGATAAACTTTTTTATAATTTTTTGGCATCTGTTGCTTTGTGCTGTTTTGATGATTGTTGTTTTTAATCAACTTCCTCTCTCCTCCCTGTTCATTGGTTGTTACATGTGGCAGTTGAAAAAAAATACTTCAACGAATAACTAGGCCTCAGGCAATATTTATTTTTAAGGCAAAAAGTACTTTAACATAATTTCAAATTCTGGCAAATGAAAATAAAAGTACACTACAACCCTCTTGTCCCCTCTCAAACTTGTTATCAATTAAAAGCAGGTGTTCATTTTGGAAAGCAAAGGTTTCAAATTTAGTGTTGCAATATAAGGCATGACGTGATTAGTGTAACACTAGTGTTGAGACAATTCATAATTCTGATTGTATTTTATTATATGGATTGGGTTAGGATAATAACATCTAATTAGAATTAATTTGTGTAAACAATAGGTACTGCTTTTTTTTTTATCCCTTTACACAAATGCAACTTAAGTTCATAACATACCCAGAGTCAAATAGATGTACAGATATCAAGACAATCCCTATCACATTGCTACCAATTAGACATTAATTAATAACCTCCCCAGCACACCCGCCTTCCGACATCTAATTCTCCATTTGGACATTCAGAAAATTATCAAAGTTCAGGATATACAAATGTAGGGCAAAGCACTCTTTATCTTAAATAAACTAATTTATCTCCTATAAATAATTCCTGATAATTTATCTCCATGTATTGAAAATGGTTTTATTAGGTTTAACACACCTGTTTTGTTTCCTGAGCCAAACTCATTAACACTATTACTGAATGACATTTTAACCAGCGCTTTTGTTGAAAGTGACCTACTGCGGTGCATCTCAGACTCCCTACTCTTTGGCTTGTCTCTGTGTATTGATAATGATCGTATTAGGATTTTCACAGATGTTCCTAAGCAAAACTCATTAACGTTAATTACTGTATGAAATGTTAACTAGCTTCTTCTGTGGAAGCAGTCTCTGATAGAAAACATAAATTTTTACATTATCATTGATAATTAATGATTTTCAAAGGGACACAAAATTATATTGGACATTTCATAGTACATTTCTCTTTATCGTAAATTTTTTTATGTCTCCTTTGACAGCAAAATATTCGGAAAAATATTGACCTTAATTAAAGCCATGTGCCAATGCCACTCTAGGTTGAATGTGATGAATCAATTTTTGAGATGATGCATTCAGACTTAGCAGTGTTGCGTTATCAAATTCTTACGCAGAGTCGAAGTGGATTCGTCACCAGATGGTTGGCCAACACAATGTGTCCTTTTTTTTTTTCTCGCTGTTTCTAAGGATTTGGCAAATGAGATACACTAAATTCGGTGAGATTTGCGCTGTATACACAGGACGGTGGCAGTCACCATCGATGAAGTTCCCAGATGGGGTTTGCTGGCTGCCTCCTTCAATAAGTTGTTGTAAATGTGGGGGAGTCTGTGGATTCCTTCGTCATGATTCATTTCTAGATTTTCTCTGATCTGATTTTGATCGATTGCACTGATTTTTTGTTCATGCCATGTTTGCTCTTTAGCTAGAATTTTGACATTATTCCAATCTGGGATATGGTAGAGTTTTGCCATGTGATCGGTTATTGCAGAGGAGTAGATAAGTTTGGAGGTGGAGTTACTGGCAGCTCTTGTTCTCACACCTGTGCAATGGGCATCCACATTTGTTTTATGTTCTTTGATTCTGGGGCCTAGTGGTCTTGAAGTCGCGCCTATATACACAGAAGGGCAATTGCTGCAGCCGATTTTGTATACTGTACTGCACTTGCGTAATGTTATAATGGTGTGAATAGGAAAATTCCTGGCATCTATAGGAATTAACCAAAGATCCTGATATTGGAAGACAGGCAACATTCCATCAAGAAATTTTCACTCATCATCTGTATTTTTAGCTTATTTGATAACATATTTCTCATAGGATTAAGCTATATTAATTCAAGATTAAGTAGGATTTGGAGCTAAGCCCACCCAGTATACTGTGTTGCTTTAGCAGGAAGTCAATCAGAAAAGTCATTTAATTTGTAATTATACGATTTTGCAATAAGTGGTGACAAACCAATCAAGTAAATCAAAAATAAGAACTCTAACTTCTATCATTAGTAATCAGATCTTGTCAGAAGAACACTGTCATATTCTTTTCCATGCTATTCGCAATCTTGTGCTGATCTGATTCAGAGGACACCAGTTAAGAATCACTGATCTAGTAATTTTGTTATTGTATTGGAATAAGCAGCATTTTTCCTTTCTTCTTTGCCTTTGTTTTTCACTTCAATTCAAAGTCACAGTTATTGAGTTCTTGTTTAACAAGAACAAATATTATAGGCCATATTCTACTGGTCGTTCTTCATTAAACCACACCTGCCTGCACAGTGATAAAATAGATCCTACTTAACAAAGACAACTAGACGAATAGAAAACTGGTAAATACTTTATAAAATAAAATGGCTGTGTAGTTGCCACAATAGACACTGCGTAACCATGGTTGCTTCAGCTTGTGGCAGTATGGGTTTTTTGTAAAAAAAATGTTTTCATGCAGTTTTAGAATTCTGTTAGCCTACAATTATTTTTTTTTCCAAAAAAAAACTACGCTGTCTGAGTTGGCCTTTAGATAGATGTAATCTTCCTAACCAGCTGATTTTCAACATTCTTTTTGGTATTCCAAACCTTCAATGCTTCCAGCTTTTTATATCTTTTTTTTCAATGAAATCTATTTTTCAAGATCATTTACTATATAGTACTAAATATTAAAAATTTTGACTAACTTTTCAATTTGAGTTTTAGTTTCATAGTCTGAATATTTTTGCCTGTTTAATGTTTACAAATCTACATTTATATAATCTTTATCACCTCTTGCATCTGACGATAGTTTTACTTCCTAAATACTTATTAAAGTTACGAAATTAGTAATTTATATCCTGTTTTAATTACTCTGCCCCTTTGTGTTTGCTTTATCACTGTCACTTGTGTATGGGACACTTAAAAGTAGAGGTTTTGATAGAGGGAGTGTGGGGGTGGAAACCTCAGTGGCAATTAACAGTTGTGTTTTTAATCAAGAGCTTACTAATTGCTCACATGGTATTGATATGGAGAGAGAAGCATTGGAGTGGAGTTGAATAGCGTAGTGGTTAAGATGCTTGACTTCTAATCTCAGGGTCCTGGGTTCAATTCCTGTGACAGTAGGACTTTTTCTCACAACTAAAACAACTCCACTCTTTATGAGGCTTAGGGCCCCTGAATATCAGCCGACCTTCTAGGATACGCTCTATAAATATGGTTAAAACAAAAAAAAAACAAAAACAAAAAAAATGCTGGCTAATGTGGTACAGAAGAACGGGTGAGTGCAGTGGTGGTGGTGCTGGTTAATGGTATCAATAATATACATAAAAGATTAAAAGATAAAATTTCCTTTTTATGTACAATTCCAAATATTTAAAAAAAAAATGGAAATTTTAGAGGAAAAACATTCAGAAGGGAAGGAGGTCTACAGTGCAGTTGCTATTGGAAAAAAGCTTTTTTGAAAATTACAAAGAATGGTATATACATCATATACAATATAATTGAATACTGAGTCGTGTTTGATTTTAAAAGTTCATGCATGTTGTTTTACTCGTGTAACTAATGCTTTATATATATTTTTTGACTTTTAGTGGTTTGGAAACCTGGTGACCCTTAAGTGGTGGGATGATACGTGGTTGAATGAAGGTTTTGCCAGCTTTGTAGAATACATAGGTGTTGAAGAAGTGGAACCAACTTGGCAAATGGTGAGAACTACGCTGCTCTACTGCCTGAGCTAATATTTTTCCAGGGTTTAGAGATGACCACTTGTTGTGTTGGGCTTTAGCCCCATGTCATCTCTAGTCACGCCCCTGGTCAATATGTATTTATATATATCGTGACGAATTTTTAATAAAATAAATAAATACTCCTAAAACTTGTGTATTTTTTAGCTTTCAGTGAAACAATTATGGTAATGGGAATAGAAATTGTGCCTAGCACAATTAAAAATCATCTCAAAGACCGAATATTTATTTTAATATATAGCATTGAATTGTTATCATTATCATTTTTATTATTGTTATTACAATTTATTATTGTTGGTTTTATTGTTAATTTTGATATTTTATTTTTGTTTTTTGTTTTTTTTTATATATTGTTAATATTATTAATTGTTAATATTATTAATTATTATCATTATTATTGTTATTATTATCATTATTATTGATTGTCAGCAAGATCAATTCCTTGAGAATGATATTCATCCAGTGTTCAAAGTGGATGCATTGGAGACATCAAGGCCAATCTCAATTGAAGTTAGGACTCCAGCAGAAATCAATCAAATGTTTGATGCAATATCCTACAATAAGGTGAATATAGAACAGATAAAGAAAGATGATGTTGAATGATGATGATGATGATGCAAATTCTACAGTAGGAAAAATATGGAACAGATGGTAATTATGATAAATGATGATAATGTTGATGTTGATAGTGATGATAATGATGATGTTTATAGTGATGATGATGATAGTGTTGGTAGTGATGGTGTTAGTTAGTCAGTACAGTATTGACCAATCATCTTGTTTCGAAAGAGGATGGCTATTAACTTAAATGATGGTGAAGGTAATGACTATGGTGACAGTTATGATGATGGTGGACAAGAAGGGAGTATAATATAAGAATGATAATTGGAAATATATTTAAGCAAATGACTTACCATTACTTTCGTTTGTTTCTTTTATAGGGATCATCAGTAATTCGAATGTGCCAATTTTTCTTGGGTGAAGATACATTTCGGAAAGGATTGAAGGTAGTTTTCTCGACAGTATTAATTGCCGGTTTTGTGATACTTGATTAACAGAATAATGAGTGAACACCCCTTAGAAATAATGGAACTGCCTATATTATGTATCCCTTACTAAAAACCAAATCTTCTGTTTTGTCTTATTTTGTTGCTGATATTACTAATATTGTTTAGAGATTTTATTTACATTTTTTTTGCACTTCTAATTGAGAATTGTGCCTTTGTTTCAATTTTTTCCAATAGAGAGACAAACGCTATCGTTATTTCAGATTTGAGCATTTAGACATTTTAATCATTACATGGACAACAGACTCTATGATTAAAGGAGCTTGGCTACTAATCCAGTGGTACTGGTTTCAAACCGGTGATTAAAGAATCCTGTTACCGTGACATGAATTGTTCCAGGACCATGGCATTGCATGCCAAGCACCTTAACCACTAATCTATTCAACTCAACTATTGGGGGCTAATGGTTGATGGGCTTGTCTGTGCTAGCTCCCATCTGCCTTAAATGTTGTATATTAGGTCGTGGGTGTGAATTTTATTGTAAGGCATTGAAACTGAATAAAAGGAAAAGAACTCCACTCCATTAATTGGCAAAAAAATATTCTCTCATTCTAATTGAACGCCAATATTAACTTAGATACATTATGCAAAGTACACAGTTCATATATTGAATTAAATATACGCTTTTAGATTAACGCAAGCAGTTTATCTTTAACCGATTGCTATGGATTTAATCTTCATGTAAACAAACGCTATAAACACATGATTATATCCTGGATTATATTGAATATATGTCTCATTTCATTATGAGTTGTGTTGATTTGTCTGGCAGAACTATTTATCAGATTTTGCATACAGTAATGCTGTGAATGACGACCTATGGATTTACCTTACTGCAGTAAGTCAACATGTTCCTTTAAATCTCAAAAATAAGTAAAAGATATTAATTTTTATCCTAATGAAATTTTTTAATAAAATTTTCTGATATCTACTTTTGGTTACTGGCAGGATGGTAGTGAATGGTAATAATGATTGTTTTTTGGAGAACAAACACTCACATTTTGTGGTTTCCAATGCAATAATCATATTTGAATAATTCTGAATTAACTTTCATTATCTGAGTTTTTTACATGAAAGAGTTTGATACAGATGTTGATTTTTTTTTTGTGAACATTTTAGAAAGCTTATTTTAGAGTATTTATCCAATCTTTTAAATGGTTTTAAAATAAATTCAAATTGTCATAAGTAAACTTGAATTATAATTGTTCACATATACAGCATAAATTATCACAAATTAATGTAACAATGTTATAAAGAGAAACTTAAGAATTATTTATAAATAAATTTAGATTTATATAGAATATATTGTCAAAATATAAATTTAAAATATTAATATTTATAATTATAATGTAACATATAGTGACATAAATTAACTCAAATTATCTGGAATTAATAAATTTAGATTTATATAGAATATATTGTCAAAATATAAATTTAAAATATTAATATTTATAATTATAATGTAACATATAGTGACATAAATTAACTCAAATTATCTGGAATTAATATATATTATCATAAATTTACAGGCTGCAAAGGAAGATGGTAAAGACATTGATGTGAAAAAGATCATGGAAACGTGGATCCTTCAGATGGGATTTCCAAGCGTAAACATCACAAGATCTTACAATGATGACACGTTCACCGCAAGTCAAAGACACTTTCTTATCGACCCCGTTGCTAACTTTACAACACATTATCCAGATCTAGGGTAAAGATATTGCTTCTCATTAATTGTTATGTATTTTTAAGTTTGTTTACTTTCATTATTTATTTGTATGTTTACTTATTTTATTTGTTTATGTATATTCCGATTGTGAACAAGTTACCCAAAATTTGTATTACTTATCACCTATTATTTTTTTTTTTCTATTTTAATAATAAACATATGACTAAACAAATCGTCTTTCTTAACACTTTTCCAGATATGTGTGGTGGGTTCCACTGACGTATACAACTAGTACTCAGATGCAATTTGTTAATCCCAATCAGGTATGGATGGATCCTTCTGTATCAACAGGTATGTATTTTATTTTAAAACTTTATATTGCATATTGCAACTACCTATTCTATACTATTTTGGTGGATCATGAGTAACTAGTTAATCCCTCAGATATTTTGTATTCTTAGCTCTTCAAGCTGGTTTGATATGATACAACTTGTAGCCTTACTTAAATCTATGTAAGTTTGCTGACTGTTAGAAATGTGTCTATGTGTGAGAATGTAAGAAGACTGGATTAATTAATGAATAGAAATTAGTCTACTATTGCATTGCATGGTATTCGCTTTCATGTAGTTATGCAGAGTTAGACTCAACTAAGGAGCTAGCTGTGTAAACTTGCCTTAAGGTTATTGTAATGTAACACCCAAGACAACGGAATTCTGTGATTTTTATGATGTAATTTGAAACGATACATTACAAATGGATTCCATTTTTCATCCACACTGCACTAATTTACAATATGTATCACATAATAAGGCTTTGTTTTATGGACTGACTGAACAATAATTATGTAAAAGTCAATTCCAAACATAATATTAATACTTGATTTCTGCTTCTTGATCGAAGTTTTCAGCTGTGAATTTTGGAGTGGGGCTATTCAAAAGTTGTTATTTAGATGATTATCATTCAAGCGTACATAAAATCCACTTCTGGCGATTATAAATCTGTGTCCAGTATCAAATAAGTCTATCTTAATGAAGCTGAACCGGCCCTACATTACAATTCTTCCATTGTTTGATTCTTAATGGTAGCCAACTGCATATTTAGGCGATAATTTAATGCATTCGATCTTCGTTTAAAATCATCTTTAAGAAGTGTAATCCCGACCATTGTTGAAAGCTGCCGATTGGGCAATCCAACATGGAAATAATTAAATACATTAATAACAATGTCAGTCATTGGAACAACATGATACTCCACAGCATACGGATGTCCATTCGCATTATTGCAAACTTCAAAGTTATTGGAGTAGATTACTTTTTCGGTTATTTAAAAAAATGAACGTTTTATAATATAAGATCCATGGTAGATGCAGCTTAAGACAGATTATGTATGATCTTAACATGTTTCCGGCTCTTGGATGAATTTTAAAAAAATTATTGATTAGATAATTCATCATGCACTTTATCTATAGTCCACTATATGTACTTTAACCAACCTCGACATTCATTTTAAAAATATTTTTTGTAGAAAAGATTTTTTTAAAAGTTATTCTGTTTGTATGTATTGCTGTGAATCCTGAGTGACAGTTATTCAAAAACATTGCATTTATGGATCTGTGGTGACCCTAACTGGTTTTCAATAAATGATAAGTGATATAAGTGTGGCTAGCCTGTAACCAGGATACCGTAAATCCGGTATCCTGGTTACTTGCTTGATTTCGAGAAGAAGCCCAGTGGGCTTGATCTTGAGAAGCCCATCTCAAAATGAAACTCCCTCTTTGGTTTGAAAAATTAGGTTCGAAAAGAAGCCTATCTCGGGAAAAAAAAACCCATGGGCTTCTTTTAAAAATAGCATGGGCTTCTGTTCAAAATAGTACAAATACATACACTGTACATGGAATTCAAAAAACAAAATAAATTAAAAACAAGCTTGGTTTATACAGTAGTTTAGGTGATTTAATGCCAGTTAATGCACTCCATGATACAGATTGATCTTACGGTGGTCTTATTTATTGTTTTATAGTAAAAATTCCCAAATTTACAGCATTCATTTTGAAAAGGAGCCCCCCCCCCCTCTTTACTTTGCAAAGTAGCCCCGAAATGAAGCCCATCTCAAAAAAGAAGCCCATCCAAAGTTCGAGAAAAAAATAAAATGAAGCCAATGGCTTCAGTTAGAGGTTTTTACGGTATTTGAAGGGGCATTTTCAGAGGTTGAATAGGGCGCATAGCCACCCTGGTGGTATTCAGCAACAGAGCTCTATTGGAGTCAGGAGGCAGACCCTCTCTGTCATGTAAATGACAGATTTTTCTCATCATTTTGATGGTTTTAATTATATTTCAGAAACTGTAAAATTAAGTGGCACAGGTGCTGATGACTGGCTTCTAGTGAATGTGGATCATCATAATTATTACCGTGTAAACTATGATGAGAAGAATTGGGCATTACTGAGCGACCAACTGACTGTTAATCATACAGTAAGTGAAGATTATATTTTTGAAAAAGTGAATAAGCACTTAAGCTGGGCACTCATTTTTTCATTATTTTTAAATTTAAAAATACAGATTTGTTGTGTTCTCCACAGAATCGTGTCGGTTGACGATGGCCGGGCGCAGTGTATGCTCGGCTTAAGCAAGCGTTTATTCAAAGGCACTTATTTGGATTATTTACAATATTATTATTGCTGCAGTTGTTATTCTTGTATGTTGTTATTTTTTTAAATATATTTTTATTATTAACACAACCAAGTACTGATAGTGGTATCATTTCGTTTCTTGGTAGATTCTGCCCCAGAGTAGTCGGTCAGCAGTGATCAATGATGCATTCAATCTAGCGAGAGCAGGAGAGGTCAGCCAAGTGTCAGCTCTGGACCTTACCAAATACCTAACCACAGAGACAGACTATATCCCATGGCGGACAGTTAGCGATGTCATGGGTTATATAGACTTGATGCTTTGTCGGTCTAAGGCCTACGGTGATTTCAAGGTAATTATATTATATTTATATTCTTCCCAGCTAACAGTAAGTTGGCTAGGGTATGAACAAATCTTATAAAGTGTTGTCTTATTATAGCCAGCGTTATCACGTAGATGGGTAAATTATTTCAGTCCGACAATATTTACATGCGATGTCCTTATCGAAATAGATTTATATTTTTTATTCTTCATGATGATGATGTTTATCATATCCATATATGGGCATGATGATATCATTATCATACCCATATATGGAAAAGTACAGGTATTTGTCACACTAAAGTTGGATAGAGCTTCATGATGTCAGTGTTTCATGAGGATGATCCACTCAGCTAAGCTGATCACTATGGTCCACCAGCTGTAAAGTTCCATATTCAACTGTATTTTTATTAGGTTTTCGGAGAAAACTTTTTTTTCCATAGCCTTGAGAAAGTTTTATTGTGCTTGTGTTTGAACCCCCAACTATTTTGATAGGGCTACAAAATTCTTTCAGGCCTACATGAAGAAGCAAGTGACCCCATTCTATGATTATGTTGGTTGGAATGCAACTGGGCTGCCACATGTTGCACAGTAAGCTATTCAATTTTTTCTTGAAATTTTCAGGGGGTCTCATGTCTCCAGCAAACTAAGACAGCCTCCTGCACCCCCGCAAGCAAGCAAGAATCTCCCTGAAAATATTAACCAATCTCACGCAAAGTCAATATTTTTCACAATGATGGGTATCACCATTCCCACAGCAAGATACAATTAAACGTGAAATGCTCATTTAAACTGATTTTCTGGAAGTGACTTCAACTTAGGACCGCTGAATTTTAATAGCTTGTTTACAATGATCCTTAATAACAAAAGAACACACTATATACATAAACCTTCATGTCACCTGCTTTCAAGATGAATATAAAGTGAGTTGAAAAATATGTTTATAACATTGTCCTGTTGGATTTGTATTTAAAAACCCTTGCCTGCTTAAAGGCTGTATGTGTGTCAAAAATGAAAACTTACTAATTAAAAAGTTTCAATATTTCAATTGAACACAGTTATGTTTATCACATCAAATTGTACAGATTCGAGTTTGTGATTACTGTATAAGATAAAACCTTTTTATGAGCTACATATTTTTTATTTCATATTTTTTTATATAAATATGATAAATAAATCTGATTATTTTTGCAGATTAAGCCAGGTTACTGCATTAAGTCTTGCTTGTGGCTATGGCAACACGGACTGCACTAACAATGCTATAGACCTGTATGCCCAATGGATGATGAATCCCTCCAATAATTTGTAAGCATTTTCACTTTTGTTTGTCAACAACATATAAATGTATTTATATCGCACCACCTAAATTGTATTAAGAAAAATAATTTTTGTATTGTATTGTTGAAATTTTATTTTTATCATTATGAACATAATATCGTTGAGATTTTTAAAGTGTTAGAGTGCAGTTTCTGGGCACTTTGAGGTCCATACTCTCAAAATGTTCTCACCTCAGCCCCAACAATGATAGTGGGGCTGAGGTGATGTGATCACCAAATCCTGCATCCGCCCCACTATTGTTAAGTATAATCAAATTCTAGTGAAGGTAAATATATATACCTAATGAGGATGTTATACTATACCTAATTTAATATTTGATTTAATCTGATTTTATGAAATATTTATAAAATGTTCTGAAGGGAAAATCCACGCCGGGATCATTCGGCCTCATAGGTCAACTGATATATCAACCGGACTATACCCTGAGACTTTGGTTCGAATCCTGATGGGCAGTACTTTTTCTCAATTAACCACCATTATAATAATGATAAATCTTTGTTCTTCTTGATAGAATACCAGCTAACTTGAAGTACATAGTTTACTGCATTGCAATCGCTGCCGGCGACCAGGAGGAGTGGTACTTTGCTTGGAATCAGTTCCAAACCTCGTTGGTATCATCGGAACGATCAACATTGCTCTCAGCATTAGCATGCAGTCAAGAGCCGTGGATTCTTAACACGTAAAATATCTCATTGCTATAGATTGCTGAAGCTCTATCTGTCCACACTTTAAATTTGATGTGACAAATTTGTGTGATGTGTCCATATATGGGCATGATGATGTCATTTTACACCCAAATATGGGCATATCACAATTATTTGTCACATAAAATTTGATAGGGTGGACAAAGCTTTAGAAGTACCTTAAGTCAAACAAGAATGTTTATGAGAGCAATGGGAAAAATATTGTCATGTGTTGAAAGATTTACCGTTCCATTCAACAAGGGGAGCTGAATTGAATGAAACATGAAAATATTCTTTCCATTGGGCGAATAAAAAACATTCATTATGTTTTATAACACACCTAAAATAGATTTTTGTCATTTGATATTTTATTCAAAAAATGCACCTTTTTTCTGAATGGAGATTCTTGTCATTTAGTATTTTATGAAAAAATTTACCCTTTGTCTAAATGGAACAATCCCACGGTCTTTTAACTAATCAAAAGATTGTATTAGGTTGAAGTCGTATTGTTTCCTAGGCACCTTGCAATGGGCAAAAACGGATGGAAATAAAATGCACAGATGAAAATAAACTTCCATGATGAGTGACGAAATGGGGTGAATAACCATGTGATACGAAATCAACCAATCAAATGACAGGGATCTATTTAGGTGTGTTATGATTATTTATGCTGGGTATGCCTACAGATAATGTTCGAAGTCAATCTTACGAGACTTCCGGGGTCTTTAGCACAAGTAGCAGGAACAATTCTCTCGGCCAACTGCTCATCTAAATTGTTTGTGTTTTTTTTTTTCCCCATTTTTTTAGGTATCTGAATTATTGTTTGGACTCTGACAAGATACGCTCGCAAGATGTAGTGTCTGTGATGTCGTCTGTGGCGGGAAACACGATAGGAAGCTCGTTAGCGTGGGACTTCTTCCAAGCTAATTGGGTCTTCTTTAGAGAAACGTATGTTAATTGACAGTATTGACAGTATGTCATGTATTTTGCCAACATTTTAAACATTGTAAGAAGGATATTATGATAGAGACTGGTTTCAACATCTAGCTTGGTGGTTAGGTTGCATGCCATTTAAGAAAAAAAATTAAAATGAACAAAAGTGATAATGATAATAAATTAATAATAAAAAAAATAATAAATAATAAATAAAAATAAATTGTAGACAAATTAAAGAAGTACCAATCATGCCAAAATTCAATACATTTTTTTAAAATTAATATTAATAATTAATTAATTAATTATACATAAATTATGGTAGGTATGTGTTATATTACATCTTTTAATGAGATATGTGCAAAAATAAAGTAATAAATTAATTAATTAATAAAAAAATAAATTATAGACTAATTAAAGAAGTACCAATCATGCCAAAATTTAATACAATTTTTTATTAATATTAATAATTAATTAATAAATTATACATAAATTATGGTAGGTATAGACTAATTAAAGAAGTACCATATCATGCTAAATTTCAATACAAATTTTTAATTAATATTAATTAATTATACACAGATTATGGCAGGTAAGTTTTATATTACATCTTTTAATGAGATATGCGCAAAAATAAAATAATAAATAAATTAATTAATAAAAAAGTAAATTATAGACTAATTAAAGAAGTACCATATCATGCTAAATTTCAATACAAATTTTTAATTAATATTGATTAATTAATTATACATAAATTATGGTAGGTATGTGTTATATTACATCTTTTAATGAGATATGTGCAAAAATAAAGTAATAAATAAATAAATCAATAAAAAAGTAAAATATAGACTAATTAAAGAAGTACCATATCATGCTAAATTTCAATACAAATTTTTAATTAATATTGATTAATTAATTATACACAGATTATAGTAGGTAAGTTTTATATTACATCTTTTAATGAGATATGTAAGTAAGATGGGCCTATGACTGTGTAAGGTAATTCCTTCGTAAAAAGGGAATTTTAGCAAGCACGACTCCATTAGCATGCAGAATGATTCAGGTACAATATGGCTGACGTGCAAGATTAACTGAGGTTAGAGGCCGAAGAATCAACGACAAAACCCCCAAAATATGTCTCCACTTGTCCAACTGCCAGTCTTAACTGATACATTTAGTCCTTAACATGGAGATGGTTTTTTATTGTTCTGATGAACCCCTTTTTCAAATCTCTTTCTAATAAACCAAACCACTCATGCGCTGCATCGAGCCATAATCAAACCATCAAAATATTAATGATAAAAAATAATCTCTTGATTCCAAAAAAGCACTTCACAGACTCTTGGCTGGACGCCCAGGTTCCCCTTCGCCTCTGCCTCTCATAGGAAGCCCCCTCCCTTAAGGAATCCTGGTCACGAGTCTGAAATTAATGATTATTTTACGTTTGCTACACTCAAATATTAGAAACAGATTCTATTATTTCAAACTTGGATGCCTCTACGTCTAACGGACACTAAATATCTTATCTGTTTTTCTTCGAGACTTATGTTGCTCAAAAATATGTTGGAGTTCAACAAAGTCTGGCCAGTCCAGTTTGACACGCCTAATTTCATCAATTTCGTCATCACTTTTAATCGGTCAATAGATTCTTCCACTTCTGCTTGATGTTACACCTGGGTTGACAATTAAGCGATATCACTTATATGCCAGTCAAATGTGTCTTGTTTCCGTAGATTAATGCATTAGTAAATGAGTCACGGATTGACGATTTCCCTTATAAATTGGACTTGGCTGAAAATATTTAGATTTCAAATAAAATTAATTATTTGAATAGTTCCATCTCCTCTCACGTTTGAGAAGGCGACCTTCAAATTCTTATTTATATTCGCATTATTTAGCCTGTCTCTTATACACATCTAGATGTGTATAAGAGACAGCATATAACCCCCATTTTACGTGAACTTCATTGGTTACAAATTGATGCCAGAATTCAATATAAAATCCTTTTACTGACTTATAAGTCACTGACTCTCAATCAACCCGCATACATTAATCAACTTCTTCCCGAATATGTGCCTGGCCGTTCCCTACGTTCATCTGATCTCAATTTAATTTCTGTCCCTTGCACCAACACTAAGACCTTCGGACACAGATCATTTTCATTTGCTGCAGCCACACTCTGGAACGCACTACCACTTCACATTAAAAAATCAGCATCAATTCCTTTATTTAAAAAATCACTCAAAACTTATTCCAACAATAACATGAAGCACCACTGATAATTACTTCGGTTTTTTAAATGGCGCTATATAAGTTCTTACTTTATTATTATTATTATTATAACTTTGGTCCCTGGTTGAATTCCATCTGGGCTCAAATGTCTGTCTTTCAGATAAAACATTTAAGCCATTGGTCCCATGTGCAATTGCCCATGTGTATGTTAAAGAATGCAGCACACTTTTCAGAGAAGAGTACCCAATTCACCACCAGAAGGCCCTTATTGGAAATTATTTTCAATACAGAATACATCCAAATCCAGCAACATCCCATTTAGATTATAGCACGGTAACACAGCATATTTAAAAAATAAATGTGGTGTGGGATTCTGACTAAACTTGTGATGATCTTTTATTCTTAGCTTGAAGAGTTCATGGCAGCGAATCCGGACCAAGGAACAGCAGCTAATGCGTTTTTAAAGTCAGTGGCACAGACCAAAGCCAATATACGTTGGATGAGCAGTTACCTGGAGGAAGTTTATGATTGGCTCCAGACAGCTTAATGTTAAAAATAATTTTTATTTCGCATTTTTAATAAATACCTTTTTATGTGAATAATCATGATATATGTACAGTTGTATTGAAATTTTAAATATTAAACTCTAATTATGTGTAATGTTTTATAGATATATATGAAAATCATAGTTTTTGTACAAAATATAGATTGTGGTAAATTAGCTGTGTAATGTTTTAATTTTGTGTAAATAAAAGAAATATATTATATAATTAAATATTAAATAATTAATGAACTATTAATTGCTAGCCGATTTGTAGCAGAATATATCGGTTAATAATTGAGTAAGGAGATCAATACCTTGGCTGTTTATATCTATATTAATAGTTATGATTTTTGCTCCATATACCATGAAAAACTTTATCTTTTATTTCTCAACAATATTTTGTTGTACCTGCAACCTTTCTCAACGTGTAGTGATCATGCCACTATACCTTAAGAAAGGTTGCATGTGCTACCGAAATATTTGTGAGAAATAACAGACATGTTTTGTTATATGTCAACTTGGTATTTCATTTGTTTACCTATGCTGTTCAACTATATAATTCGGAACATACATGACGTGCACCCATCACCATTATAAATGTGATAATATGTATGTAATATAGTATATATATTATTAATTTAAACTCCCAACTCCCAGTGGCTTAAGGCATCTGCATAGATAGCAGTTAAGGCAACTTTTTTTACACTCACAGATTCCTCTTCTTTATCGTTTAAAATTTATTTAGTTTTAAAATTTATTTTCAGAAGACATTTAGAG